TTGATCGATCTATTTTGATCCACTTCATTATTATTATTATGGCTATATGTTCGTTTGACACAAGGAAGTTATCCTTCTCATAGCTTTAGTGCAACTGCAGTGAGAAAAGTTTCATTGGTAACAAATGCCCCCTATTACTGGTCACTTGATGGCTAAAAGGATACGTGAGCAAGATCATCATGTTCGCTGTGATCAATTTTTATGTCAATGAGCCAGACAGAAACCAGATCATGAGCATTCTGAACGTCATTATAGCATTGTCCACTAAGTATAGAACACAAGGGCCTACATGCATGCAAGTCAAAGTCATATATAGAACAACAAGGGAAACTAAGGAACAGAGAGAAAAACGAAAATAGTAATTAATAATTACAAGGTTGAAAGCAGAAAACCCAAGTTTAGTTCAATCAGCGAATGTCAAAACAGAAAACAAATACTACTGGAGAATATATAATAATCTCTAAGGGAACAAGAAAGAGCAGAACATGAATATTTGTTTAGACTTTAGCTGATTTGCTCGGAGAAGCAGAACCAGAGGGATTCTGGTGTTTTAACTGTCCGTATCTTCAACACTTTGTTGGAATAAGATCAACCAATTCTCGTTAGTTAGATTCTGTATTCTCAAAGTCAAGTCAAGTGGCTTCTCTGTCTAGTAATTCTGTTCCGAGTTGTGGATCTGCTAAAAGGCAGAAATAAATCATGTACTCTCTCTCTCTCTCTCCAATGCTTGGATCTGTTTTACTGATTACCATGATTCGTCCATTTGTGATTGCTTGTCCTTGTAAATTTCTATGAGAAATTATGGGCATTCCATGTTCTTTATGTCTTTTAAGGATCATTATGATATTTTATTTTGTAAATTTAGAAAATTTAAAATAATTACTGAGAAAGTAGTACTATTTTATGTCATAATATAATAAGTTGATCTTCTCATGAAAAACAGATATTTAAGCAAACATTCAGCTAAGGAACTCGGCAGCTGCAAACTCATGTTGGCTCTTCTTCTTTTCCTATGTTACTTTTCTTGGGAACTTGGTTCTGCCACAGATACCATAACATCATCTCAGCACATCAAAGATCCGGAAAGTATAGGCTCTGCCGGCAATAAGTTTAAACTGGGATTCTTTAGCCCCGGTAATTCAATGAATCGCTACGTAGGAATATGGTACAGTAGAAGTGATAGTTCTGTTATAACTCCAGTTTGGGTTGCTAACAGAAACAAGCCGATCAATGATTCATCTGGGATTATGACAATATCTGAGGACGGAAATCTTGTAGTTTTGAATGGTTGGAAAAAGATTCTTTGGTCGTCAAATGTTTCGAATGGAGTCCATAATTCCAGTGCACAGCTAATGGATGATGGAAATCTTGTATTGCGAGGCAGCGAAAATGGAAACATCTTATGGGAGAGTTTCCAGGAACCTTCTGATACTTACATGCAAAAGATGAAACTTAGTGCTAATGCAAGAACAGGGAAGAAGACACTACTAAAATCATGGACAAACCCTTCTGATCCATCCAGTGGAAGCTTCTCTGCTGGTATTGATCCCTTAAGCATTCCAGAATTCTTCATTTGGAAAGATAGCCGTCCATTCTGGCGAAGTGGTCCATGGAATGGTCAACTCTTTATTGGAGATCCTGCAATGCCTTCTGCTTATCTTAATGGGTTTCGTCTTTTAGACGATGGAAATGGAACTTCTTCTCTAAGTTTTGATTTTGGAGATGTGTGTGATCTTGCCTACTACTTTTTGACTTCTGATGGAAACTATAAATACTTATGTTGGGTTGATGGAAAACTGGATGGGAAGTGGCAAATTCCAGAAAATGAATGTGATGTTTATGGCAAATGTGGGGCGTTTGGAAGCTGCAATGCACAGAACTCACCAATTTGTAGTTGTCTGAGAGGATTTGAACCCAAGAATCCAGATGAATGGAATAGAGGAAACTGGACTAATGGTTGCATCAGGAGGAGATCCTTGAAGTGTGAGAGAAATCTAAGTGGTGGAGAATGGAGAAAAGAGCATGGAAAAGAAGATGGTTTTCTGAAGCTGGAGATGATGAAAGTGCCAGACTTTGCTGAGTGGTCATATTCATCATCCGATCAAAACTGCACGGACAAGTGTGTGAACAACTGTTCCTGCATAGCTTACGCACATTCTACTGGCATCGGTTGCATGTTATGGACAGGAAGCTTGATTGATGTAATGAAGCTTTCCATTGGAGGAGAAGATCTTTATATTCGCCTTGCACATTCAGAACTTGGTAATTGTTTGGTTTGCTGTGGGATTTTCCTTAGTGCTTTTTATACTGTGACTAATACATGTAATAAACCTACTTATTTTATTTGCAGAGAAAAAGAAAGACATCAAAGTAATGATCGGTACAGTGACTATTGGAGCAATTATCATTGCCATCTGTGTGTTCTTTTTGTGGAGGCGGATTGCTAAACGTAGAGGTAATTACATGGGTGTTAGTAATATTAGCTTGCAGGAATTCTGTATATTCCCAATTTTCATTCATATTACTTCCTGGTTCTGACTCAGAAAGTACGGAAGCATATCCAATATTATTGGATGAAAACAAGACGCAAGACAACATTAACCAAGTTAAACTTCAAGAACTACCTCTGTTCAGTCTACAAAAGCTGATAGCTGCAACAGACAAGTTTGATATTGCCAATAAGCTTGGGCAGGGTGGCTTTGGTCCAGTATACAAGGTAATATTGGTTGTGCTCTTGTGGAATTTTATTGTCAATTGAATTGATAGCCAGTTATATGATTGATGGAACTTTGCAGGGAAAATTGAAAGATGGACAGGAAATAGCTGTGAAAAGACTTTCAAGAGCATCTGTGCAAGGGCTGGAAGAATTTATGAATGAGGTTGTGGTGATTTCCAAACTTCAACATAGGAATCTTGTAAGACTTCTTGGTTGCTGTGTTGAAGGAGAAGAAAAGATGTTGGTCTATGAGTACATGCCAAACAACAGCTTGGATGCATTTCTCTTTGGTTAGAGCTATTGCCCGACCTTGAGTAAATGTAACAAGCAGGTTACTACTTCTTTTATGAAGCCATTTATTTACCCTCTCACTCTTCTTTTTTTGGCTGCAATTTGTCTAGATCCTGTCAGAAAACAACTTCTTGATTGGAGAACACGTTTCAACATTGTTAACGGAATCTGTCGAGGTCTGCTTTACCTTCACAGGGATTCTAGACTAAGAATTATTCATCGAGATTTGAAGGCAGGTAACATCCTGCTGGATCAAGAACTGAATCCAAAAATTTCGGACTTCGGAATGGCTAGGATATTTGGTGGCAGTGAAGATCAAGCTAACACTAGAAGGGTAGTGGGAACATAGTAAGTACTGTTTCTTTTTTCAAACACAGTCCTATTATCTATCATTATTTCATAAATTCTTGCCAATGCAGTGGCTATATGTCCCCTGAATATGCAATGGAAGGCCTGTTTTCAGAGAAATCGGATGTCTTCAGCTTTGGAGTTTTGTTGTTGGAGATTATAAGTGGGAGAAAAAATACCAGTTTCTATGGTGATGAACAAGCTTTGAGCCTCTTAAGATTTGTATGCCCATCCAACTCATTGCTTAGTTAAGCAAAGTTCCAATTTTTGTTTCTGATTAAAATGCTTATTTATGTCAATTATTTCATTTTCAGGCATGGAAATTGTGGAATGAAGGCAACTGTGCAGCTCTAATAGATCCTGTGATTTCAAACCCTTCTTTTGAGGTGGAAATATTTCGGTCCATTCATGTTGGTCTGTTATGTGTTCAGGAATTCGCAAAAGATAGGCCAACAATTTCTACTGTCATTTCGATGCTAAGTAGTGAAATTTTGGATCTTACTGCTCCCAAGCAACCAGCATTTACTGAAAGGAGTTACATGGACAGAGAGTCCTCCCAACAGAACCAAAACTCAGGTTCTAATAATAATGTCACCATTACACTTGTTGGTCGATAAGTAGAATTTGTTAGACAGTTACTTTTCTGTTAGGTTTACAGCTAATTGTCTTCAACAGGTCGGATTTGGATCCAACTATAGTGGATTCGGGTCTTATTTGTTTAATAAAACAGATCGAATCAGAGTTTAACGATCCGCATTCGGATCTTAATAAACTTAAGTCATATTTAGAGCTCTATCGGATTTATCATTTAGTTTTTTGTAAAAAATTATGTTTACTACATGTAACATATTGTTTGAATATAAAATATATTTCAACAATTACATATATAAATAAAAAAATATTAAGATAATATTTTATTTATCTATTTTATAAAAAATTCAAAATGCCACAAAATTGAAAAACACAAAATCAAACAACCCTAATAAAAATTAATCTTGAACTAGTTAAGAAGTAGGATAAAACTAAACGAAAACAATAATAAACGACCAACATTTCTTATCCACATAGTAACAAAATGGATATTTGTTAATTCGAATTTTAAGATAATAGTGCAACAAATCAAGGTTTGTAAAGAAAAAAGAAAAAAAAATCTATTAATATTATTATATATTTATAACAAGTTATTTTGTAAAAATTTATGAGTATATGTTACTTTATCAATATTAATAATATTAGATAGCTAAATAAGTACTAATATTGTATTTTCTTAACTATTCTTTAAATTCAATTCTCATTCTATTCCTTAATAATACAAGTTTTATAATATCTTAAATAGCAAAATATATATATATATATATATATATATATATATATATATATATATATATATAAATATATAAATATAATTAATTTAGAGATTCAAATGTTATAAAAGACTTTATCCCTTACCTCTACCATATCAATTAATTTGAGTTACAATTTTATGCCCAACTCCCTCTTCTCAAAAGCAAAGCCAACGATAAAAATAGAAAGTTCTAGTAGATTAGCACACCAGCGAGGATATCATGGTCATTTCCCTCAGATCCATCCATTTTCTCTCCCCTGCAAGACACTAAAAACCAGAGCTAACCTTCTCTCCTCTTGTATGCTCTCACACTGTCTGAAATGGCAGAGAAACCAAACAAGCAGTTGTTTCTTTTTAGTTCAAGCATTCTTATTTATTTTCTTACCCGTCTGTTGAAAATAATGGAGGAGCACTCCAGTTAGGAAACCACAAACTTCCACTGCAGATCTGCTTACGTGGTCTGAGACTCTGCCTGCTGATTCTCCCACCGTTGGCTCTGCTCTTCGCTCTACTCGATCCCACCAGCCGTCAGATGGGATCAGTAAGGTGGTGTCATGATTTGTTGCAACAATGAGCGATGATCCAATCAGTGATTGGATTTTGTCGGAAGGAAATGCAACCTAGATTATGCGAATTAGTCCCATTGGTGATGGTTGTATCAACACTGCAAGGCGTTGTGACGCTGATGCTGGTTCTTTCTTTGTAAAAATAAACAGGGGCATTGGACCATCCATGTTTGAGGGAGAGGCTCTCGGCCTAGGTGCTATGTATGGAACCAGAACAATCTGGATGCCTAGGCCATTTAAGTTTGGACCCTATCAACGGGTGGATCATACATCATTATGGAGTTTATTGAATTTAGGGCGTTTAGAGGCAATCGGTGCGTTCTAGGGAGAAAGCTAGCTGAAATGCATAAAGCTGGGAAATCTGAAAAATGCTTTGGTTTGATGTTGATAATACCATTGGCAGATAAATACTTGGACATCAGACCGGATAGAGTTTTACAGAAACCACAGATTGGGTTACCAACTTAAGTTGGCACTAGATCACTATGGAGATTCAACCATATACCAAAAAGGACAACGATTACAATGGTGCAAAGAGTTATTGGTAGTGAAAATCAGGGAGAAGAAATTTACGAGGAGAAATTGGGTAGTTGAGAATCGAAGTTCGAGAACTGAACTGAAGTTTCATCATTTCTAGAGGGAGGGGAAGTTTCGTCATCTCCAACCGCAGGAGCAGTTTTGTCTTTCCCCATCGAGAGGGAAGTTTCGTCATTTCCAACCGCAGGAGCAGTTTTGTCTTTTCCATCAAGAAGGACGTTTTGGTCATTTTCAGTTGGGGTGAGCAAACGGTTCGATTAACCGAAAATCGAATAAAACCGAATCGAATTATGAAATTTGGTTCGATTTTAAATGTAAAATTATATAATATAAAACCGAATCGAAAAAACCAAAATTATTTCGGTTCGGTTCGATTTTTAGAAAAAAATTTCAATTTTGACCGAAAACCGAAATAAATAGTAAAAAAAATTTTAATTTCTAAATCCCTAACTTTTTAATCTTCATTCTTGCTGAAAATGAAACACGCAGATGGAAAGTAAATTTTGAGGACCATTGGGGTAAGAAAAGAAAGTGACAGAGTATAATTAATTGAGTTACGAGTGTGTTTGAATGACAAAATCAATTATACTTGGATTGTTTTTCATTAAAATCTAATTAAAATCTTCAAGAGCTTTGTGATTGTATATAAAAAAGATTAATTGATAACAAGATATTACTTCATTGGCTAGTGGACTAAGTGCTAGTACAAAATATCTCTCTGTAATGATTTTTTTTTTACAAGCAAAATATTTCGATTAAAACCGAAATAATTCGAGTTACAAACCGAATTTACCGAATTTATTTCGGTTCGGTTTTGATTTTTATTTTTCTTAATTCGGTTAACAAAAATCGAACCGAATCGTATAAAAACCGAACCGTTTAACCGAATGGTCACCCCTACTTTTCGGTGGTGTTCCAAAGGTGCATTTCGGTCATTTTCAATGACAATTTGGTTTGATTTTTGTTCTTCTTTTAATTATTTCATTGTGTTGTTTTTATAATGTTTTATGCGCCTAAGAAAACTTAAAAATATTTAAAGTGTGAAATTTATTTAATATATGATTTAGATTGGATTGTAATGTTAGACTAACGATTTTCTTACCTATTAGGGACTGGACGATGATTTGATGCATTTCACCAACAATAAAAATGCTAAAAAATGATAAGGAGTCGATTAGAGTCAATTTTATTTAACATTTTTAGTTAATTAGATTATTTCTCGACATGCCTATTGTGTAAGGATTTTCATTTGAATTCCAGCTAAATTTATGAAACTTTTAAATTTTAGGGTTCGACGTTAATTTAATACAATACCATAAAGAGAATGATAATTTTTCCTTGTATATCACAAATTAAAACATAAAAAGAATAAAAACGAAAGAAAGCGTTTTAATAAAATTTAAAGGGTTTCATGTCTAATAGGGCTTGATATTAATTCAAACAAATCACATTTTAGTAATTAGGTCATTGTTCGACATATCGGTTATGTCAAGACTTAAACTAGATCCAATATTGGATAGATGAGATTTTCGATTTCGGAGTTTGACAATCGATTCAATATGATGTCACAAACAAAAATAAAAAATCAATATTGCTTAGATAATAAACTTGAAAATTCACTTAGAAATATTTTGAAAAAATTAAAACTTTTAGGAGATAAACTTTAGAACAAAACTAAACATAGTACTTTTTTTTAGAAAATTATGCTTTCGGATGATTGATATCTTCTCAAAATTAAAGTATAACTAACTCCTTGACGTAAAATCTCTAAACTAATATCAATTTTAGGTTCTTAGTTCATTTAATACTATGCGGCGACTTCAAAAATTAGTTTAACTCACATCCCTAAACACATAAATTTCAACTTACTTATATATTTTTGAAAGTATCGAAATGTTGGGTAGGTAGTGACAACAATTTTCATAATTGGTTAATGCATAAAGAGTAAAAATATAATGAATTTAATTAAACCCAAAATGTCAACCTAATCTCACATTCAAAATTTTAATATTTTTAAAATATTATATTTATTAAAAATGATATTATTTTTAATTTCGGATCAGATTATTATCGAATTGGATCAAGATAAATTCGTATTTGATTCATATAATAAATAATTTAATGGATTCAGATCATAACCAAATTCAAATAAAAAAATGCTTACTAAATCTATTTAACTAAATCGGATTCAAATTGAATTCATATTAAGATCCGATTCATAGACAACCCAGTATATTGCTGATCTCTAGAAGAACTAAGCGTTTGGACATAGTAGTGTAATTTTATAATTGATAATGGTTAGGGTAAATTTTTACTATGATGGAAACTTTGACGGGTAGGACAACTTAATTTATATTGATGATTAGGGAGCACATGGGATTCGAATAAAAAGAAGGTTTGCTATTAATTTTATTATGGACGATTTTGTTGAGTCCCATCCTATTTTTTCATCAATTACATCATAAATATAATTTTAAGAATGTTAGGAAATGGAGGAATCCTCCACATATTAGTTCATCAGTAAAAACATGAGGTAAATTTGTAATGACAATCATTATTTTGCTTATCAAAGTGGAAATAAGACTATTGATCACTGGCATCACCTGGCATTTTCAATCTTTTATAAACAAACATAAGGTGTGTGTGTGTATATATTGGGTGTCACGGTTTGGAAGATCATTTTTTTTTTTTTTTTTGCTAATTACAAAAACTGGAAAAATTCGTATTCCCACCAAATTTTTTCCATTTTCTATCAACATTTTATGTCAAATGCAATGATCAATGGTTACTACTCGGTACACATTTATATGTACATGGTACTGATTGCTAAGATTCAAACATTTTGGGCAAACCGTAAGTGATTTAATCTCCAATATTTTTCTATAAAGGAAAGACATGGTCCAATGAACAACCTGGCAATGGACTTTGTAGAATATTTAGCTGCTTATCGAAGGAAATGCCAATTCAAAAGAGAAATTAATTTTTAGAATATTTACTTCTAATTATTACTTTATTAAAACAGATTTTATCATTAAAATAAATATTAAAAATAATTGATACCATTTTCTTATAATTTTATCGCTAACCACACTGCTATCTGCATGGATGAACTTTTACATAAATCCGGCCCATCAGAATAAAAACAAAACAATGCTAGATACTTAAACTTTTACCCTTTTTTTTTTCTTAATGATGTGATAGCTTATGATTAGTTTGTTTTTATTAGTTATTTCATTGTATAATTGTGATTATGTTATTGAATGTCGCTGCAGTTTTCACTGAAAAATTAATAATAAACTTAATTTTATATATATAAGAAATTCAATATAACCTGTCTCCATTTCTTAAAACATCCAAAAACTAAGTTTATAGACGAGTGTAGATTTATTAAATGAGAAGCCTAAATTAAGATTATGTTTTTTTTTTTTTTTTTTTTTTTTTTTTTCTATATTTCTAAAATCTGAGATATGGAGTGTGAGGTTGTAAGAGTTACATACGACTCTAAAATTAGTTATATATATCAGGAATAAAACTATAGAATGTGGAGTTCTTAAAGTTACGTGCCACCCACACATCAGTTTTATTTATTTTTTTAAAAAATAAAATGATATATATATATATAGTTTTTAATTAAGGTATGATATTTTAATCAAAAGTATATGCCATGTGACTAATATTTTACACATCATTAAGTTTTTTTTATGTTTGTTAAGAATCAAAGGCAATTGGATCGAGTTGATTAAATATAACGAAGTATAGGGTTGAATTCGTCAAATTATTTATCTAAAATTCAATTTACCAATTTAATAACAGGTCTCAAAATATAGGTTTTTTTTTCCCTAAAAATTTTGTCAGAAGTTTAGTACTCCTTGCATTACTCAAAACAAAATATGAACCTTGTTTGTTAAGTAGTAGTTGTTAAATCGGTATCATTCCAGTCGTTTATATTTTTGTTGTTGCTGTATTTATTAGTTTCTATATATATATAAAAAAAAATTAAAACCTAAAATAGACATTTGAAAACAAGAAAAGTTGTTTTAGGGTTTTAATAGAAATTTTATAAAACAAAGAAGTTTTTAAGGGAATTTATCATTCTTCAAAGTGTGGATCGGTCCTTGGGTGATTGAAGGAATTTGCGAAATATCATGTTCAAAATTCAAAATAGAGGTGATGGTAGGAATTTTTAACAGAGGTAGCATTTTTTAAGAAAGAAAAATTGAAAAATCCTTTTATTCATAGAAAAATTTCAAATAAGTTCTAATTAAATGGTCACTCCAAAATAAAAATATTGTATTGTGGCCTTTCCAAGCATCAAATTGTAGATTGGTTCTCGTATGATAAAAATATTATATTGTGGACCTAATTTGAATTTTGGATATAACATCTATCATGCTTCTTTTCATACTTGGAAGTGCTTCTCACGTGTGGAAAGAAATAATTCTTCCACTTCATGATTAATTTTTAATTTTTAAAGTGGAACGTGTATTTTTAATTAATTTATTGTAATTAAAAAAATCTCTTCATCCTTTTGTTTTTTGTAGACTTACTCGTTGCAAATTTATATAAATGACCTAATTAAGAGATGACTTATTATTATGCATTCTCTCTTTCGATCATGAAATCTTTTTCAAAGTTCTCTCCTTTCTTCCTTTTGCTTTGCTTTTTTTTTTTTTTTTTTTAATAGTAGAGACACCTTTTTTATCGTCCAATCAAAACCTTCTTGAAATCTACTATTTTGGACCTTCATTTCATGATTATATTAATATGTTTGGAGGCCTCTTAAATGCTGAACTCTTTCAAAACATTGTTGGGCCATTCAAGAATGCATTATAGTCTGTATAGGATCCACTCACATAGTTGGAAGTTCACCTAGCTCTATAAGTTTGGGCTCTACATTCTATTTTTCTTTTGTAGAAAGTGGGTCGTGAAAAATAGTACGTGAACCTTCGATGGAGGTCCACCTCTAGTAAAAATGGAAATTGAGGCTTAAAAATTACTTTGGATGGGTGTGAAGACAGATATAGAAGATAGGAGACATTCATGGTCGAAGAGGTCTATGTCAATGGACCTCCGTTGCCATCCCAGAATCTCTCTCTTGAATAAGCGGAGGAGCCATCTCCTTTTACACAAAGGGCCACCATTTATATATTTTATCATAATATAAAAAGTATTATATAATAACAATAATAAAGTTGTTCCCTCATGAACAATTGTATAAAAATAATATAATTATGTGTTATATTATAATGCAACATTTTATTAATACGATTTCATTCTATTTAAAATAAAATAATCTCTTAATTATCACTTTAAACTTAGTTAATCATTAAAATAATGCATTTTTTTTTTCATTCTATGGCGAACAGCACCTCCAATATATTTTTAACCAAACACTTTTAATAGAGCTTTTCTATTTAATTGCACACGTCAAACAAGATATATATATTATTTTTATTTTTTCCTCACGAATCCAATTATAGCCACAACAACATCTATTCTGAATGAAAAAAAAAAAAAAAATACATGCATTTAGCCAGTATGCACCAGCAATATTCTTTAATTAGAAGCCAAATAAAGAAATAACATTTAGGGCAAGGTTCAATTGATTTTGTTTTTTGTATATATGTTTCATTGTACCTATTATATACTATGTATCACAACACATATTCCACATTAAAAATATATAAAATTGAAAAAGTATTATCTATCGGAAGACTTAAATCTTTTAAATGGAATTTAATCTCAACTATTTAATTTTATATGATATCAAAATCTTAGAAAATCTAATAAAGATCCAGAAACTTAAACCTTTTGACAAATTATAGCTAAAAGATGGATTACAAATGAGAAAAAGTGTTATAACACACATTCCATATTAAAAAAAATAGATATAAAGTTGAAAATAAATCACCCATCAAAGTTTAAATTTTTTGGATAAAATCTAATCTTAATTATCTAACTTTATACTATATATCCTCATATTTATCACCCTTTGTTTGCTCATATGGAAATAAATGATGCATCACTTGTTGATCAGATAACAATGGATTACGATAAGCTCTAGCAGATAAGAAAATGCACTACATTGTTGAAGGGTTCCTGGTGCATTTGAGCAAGATAAGCTCTTGCAGGCTCTTGTATAAATACAACAAATTGTACAGCCTCAATTCTCAGAATCAAAATATATTAAGCTAAAGATTCAACTTTCACAGCTGTAAACCTTCGTTTTAGTATCACCAATGGAACCAGTTGAAGTAGTCATTATAGGTGCAGGTCCTGCTGGCCTAGCAACATCTGCATGCCTCAACCGTCTTTCCATCCCAAACATCGTCCTTGAAAGAGAGGATTGTTATGCCTCTTTATGGAAGAAAAGGGCTTATGACCGTATAAAGTTACACCTCGCCAAGGAATATTGTGAACTCCCCTTCATGCCATTTCCATCTGATGCACCCACATTTGTCCCTAGGAGTGGTTTCGTCAACTACTTGGACAACTATGTGTCTCAATTTGGGGTTAATCCACGATGCAATAGGTCCGTTGAGTCTGCCTATCACGATGAAGAGAGTGGAAAGTGGTATATCAAGGCTAAAAATTTGGATCTAAATGTGCACGAAGAATATATTGCAAAGTTTCTGGTGGTTGCAACTGGTGAGAACAGTGAAGGGATTATTCCTGAGGTGCCAGGGCTTGATAGTTTTGACGGAGAGTTCATTCATTCAAGCCAGTATCAAAATGGCCAAAAATATAAAGGCAAAGATGTTTTAGTTGTTGGATGTGGGAATTCAGGGATGGAAATTTCTTATGATTTATCCAACTGGGGCGTCAAAACCTCCATTGTTGCTCGTAGTCCAGTACACGTCCTCACCACTGATATTGTGTATCTTGGTATGCGTTTGTTTAGTTATGGTCTCCCATGCAAGTTAGTGGACTCCATAGTTATTTTGCTTAGCAAGTGGAGGCATGGAGATATTTCAAATTACGGGTTTTCATTACCAACAAAAGGACCGTTTTACATAAAACAAACAGTTGGTCGAACTCCTACTATTGATGTTGGAGCTCTGGATAAAATTAAAAGGAAAGAGATTCAGGTATTGTTAAATTAATTAATAACTTACATGCAAATTAACTCTTCCCATAATATATCATTTTGTTGCTAAAATCTCATGTTTCAATGATGACATTATTTATTCTCACCATTCCTATAGGTATTTCCATCCATAAGAGGCATCGAAGGAAGCAAAATTAAATTTGCTAATGGGGAAATTAAACAATTTGATGCTATTATCTTTGCTACTGGTTACAAAAGTACTGTGAGACACTGGCTTAAGGTATTGCATTTTTGTAAGATTATTGATCATGTATTGAAGTAATTAAATACTTAATTTTCTTCTCTAACCTGATTTAAAATGTTAATCTTGATTAATTAGCTTCTGAGAATGTCTTTCATTATTGTTGTAGGGTGGCAAAGACCTTTTCGATGAAACTGGAATGCCAAACCTCTGTTTTCCGGATATTTGGAAAGGAGAAAATGGCCTTTATTGTGCTGGATTTGCCAGAAAGGGATTGCTTGGCATTTCAATTGATGCGCAAAATATAGCGAAGGACATCAGTCTAGCATTGAAATGTGATTGATAGGAATTCCATTCTCCTTCCTCAATGCTTAGGTTCGAATTTTGTCATTACCAATAGAAACTGTGATTTGTAAGATTTAATGGAAGTAATTGTCTTCGTGCTCCATTTTTATCCGAGAAATAAAATAAATTATAAGTTTGTATTCTCTCGGACAATTATGTCAAAATTTTATGTTTTTATACTTCTCTTGAAAATTTTATAATACATAAGGAGTAACTAATGACATGTACAATAATTACTCCTTATATCCAGCTTGAGGAGAGAGATAGACACATAAAATTACATCTATACCTACTAAAAGTGATAAGAAGATTTTTACGTCTCGCTCAAATTTTTTTATTTTCTCTCTCTTATTTTTTCTCTCTTTTTGTGTATCTATCTCTCTCCTCAAAGTGAGCCCAAGGAGTAACTACCGTATATGTTACTAGTTACTCCTTATGTATTATAAAATTTCTCATACTTCTCTCGTAGAAATAAGATAAATGTATTTTTAGTTCAACAACTCATTGAAAGTTATTTTTCTTATTTTTCCATATATATATATATATAGCGTTCAACAACTTCGTGCGGTTAATTAAAATAATAGGTTTTTTTCCCTACACATATTGTCCTTTCTTGCAAAAAACGTGTTTCATTAATGCATCATCTCTGAATAATTCGATAATGTTTTTCTTTAATTTATTATACTATAATAATGAATAAAAATAAATACAAGGGAAAGAGAAATTATGGTAAAAGAAAGATAGGAAAAGCAGACAGTACTGAAATTGAACTTTCCATTAAATAAATAAATTTTCTTGTTTGAATGTACAAGTGAAATAGAAGTGTTTTGGTTGCCATTAATAAGTAAATTCACTTATGCTAAAAGGATTTCAATTTCATATTTATGACCTCAAATAAAAGTATTTATTAGAAAAATACCAATAAATTCACTTTTGAAAATTATAATAATCATTGAATTTTGTGATGCATTTTTAATACCAATAAGTTCACTTTTATAGTTTACTTCCTAAGAAAGTTCATATTTAGTTATGATACCTATACGACTATATCATCCTCCGTATATATTTAAAAAAAATAAAATAAAATTCAAGTGGTTTTTATTTTTATTTATTTTTTTAGTTTGCTTAAAAAAATTTATAACAGTTTTTTTAATATTTATTTTTTATTATTGTAATAAAATTTTATTTTATTACCATTTTTAAAATTTTTTTAAAAATTCAAATACAACTACGATTATAGAAGTGGAAAATATAATTCTTCATATTAGTAAAATTTGTTTTAAAAAAGAAAAAACATTGATGATAATCTTAGTTTTAAAAAAAACATAAATATAAAATTTTTAGATAAATTGTTTGGATATTACAGGGAATGTAACAAAATATGAACTTGTTTGAAGGAAAAAAAAAAAAACTTTGAAAAGTAAAGTTGTTGGTCTTAAAAAAATATGGTACTAATTAATCAAAAATGAGTTATGACATGTTTAATGGCCTTAATAAACTGACTTGAAAAAATAAAAATAAAGCTTTAATAGTTCTAAATATTAAACATCACAAAGGATATAAGTGCAACGTCTTAGCAATTAGCAAAGAACAAGAGCTTAGAAGCCCAATGCTGCCTTCTAGCTGAGATTTTCTGTAAAATAGGTCTACAATAAGCGAGGTAGAGTTTACTAATGATCAAGGCGATGCCTAAGTATCGGACTGGAAGCTTGCCTATTTTGAATCTTGAAATCCTTTGAATATTAGCAATAACAGAAGAAGAGATTCCAGTAGAGAAAATCTCACTCTTCGAAGCATTAAACATGAGGCCAGACATATGATAAAAAGCATGCAGAACATCAATGGTGCTTTGAATAGATTTTAAGAAGCTATTGGTGAAAATCATCAAGTCATCTGCAAAGCATAGATGCGATATAGAAAGCTTCTTACACTTAGGATGAATCCCAATCCTTCCATAAGCCACTACATCATTCAAAAGACAAGCTCAAATTTCCATGAAAATAACAAGAAGGGAAGGAGACAGGGTCTCCTTGTCTCAAGCCTCTTTCCCCCTTAAAATAACCATAGAGACTGCCATTAATAGCAATTAAGAAGCTAGGAGGAGTAATGCAAGCTCTGATACAACCAATAAACTAGGTAAAAAAGTTCATAGCAGGTAAAACATTAAGCAAAAAGTCCTAATGAACCGAGTGATCGAAAAGCCTTCATTAAATCAACTTTCAGGGTGCAGGAAGCAGAGGTGTTGCTTCTGTGATACCCTCTTGCCATTTTCCAAGCCAGCATAATATTATCTCAAATTATACGACCATGAACAAATGCAGTCTGATGAGGGCTAATAAGATTAGGTAAAAAAGTCCGCAACCTATTAACCAAGATCTTAGATATACATTTGTACAAGATAGAGCAGAATGAAATGGGTCTAAAATCTGCAACTCTACTGCCATTAGACACCTTAGGAACCAATGTAACTGAAGTAGCATTCACTGCTTTCAAAAGTTACCCATTTTGGAAGAAATTCAAGACAGCCTTGTGGCATCTTCTCCAACAATTCCCTAACTATTCCATAAAATCGACAGAAAAGCCATCAGGACTAGGGGCTTTACTTCCATTCATGGAGAAAATCACATTCCTAACATTTTCAAGATTGACCAATAGCTGTTAGAGAAGCTTGTTGATAAGGAGAAAACTTCATTTTAACCAAAATTCGAGATATCTTCGACACTGCTACCAATGAAATGATTATCCTCCTTTCCTAAAAAAGATTAGAATAAAAATCAACAATCTCTTTCTGAATTTCAGCTGGGGATGACAATTGAATGCCATCAGCATTATGTAGGACAGAGATAGCTAGTATTCTTAGTTCTTCTAACTCTAACCATTGAGTGAAAGAATGCAGTGTTTTGATCACCTTCCTTAACCCAAGTGAGTCTAGATTTCTATTTTAAATATGATTCCTGGGCATTCATATAGTTGAGGAGCACGACAGTAAGATGCTTTTCCTCTTCAACTAGATCAGTTGAATGATTATTCAGAAGCCCTGCCTGGACATTCTCCAAGTCTTGCCTTGCATTCTTGACTCTTTCAGGTATATTCCAATAAAAACAAGTATATATTAAGTTGTTTTAAAGGCTGCTTAGGGTATTGAAGCTTCTTCGACACTTTGATCATAGGAGTTCCAGTAATGTCGAGATTCCAATTAGAAGCAACAACATTCATAAATGATGAATGGGAGGCCCAGAAGTTGAAGTATCTTAATGATTTAGGAAAAGTATCGGTGATATTTTTAATCTTTCAAATGCACTTTATCCAATGAAGTTTATAGATCAAGAAAGAGTTCATTTGAGATCTCAGCCAAGAGTGTTTTGAATTCGCTATATTTTTGATAGCATTCTGAAAAGGAAAAAGTTCACAATCATCAAGAACAATCAAGAAACTATTTTGTACTCTTATTGAAAAAGGAATGACTGAAAGGTTTGATGTTGATTCCTTAATTCTTGAGTTTTGTATGAAGAAAGAATGTTGAGCACAATTCAACGTATCTAAAGGGAATAATAAATAGAAGAACTCAGTAAGAATGTTATATTTTTCAGTCAGTATTTTAGTATTTCTCCGTATTACTATTATGTATATATGTTCATATTATTGTGTTTAATATGTTATTTATTTTTCTATTTAGTATTATTAGGGTTTTCTTAAATCTCTATTTAAGCAGTTGTATCCTTTATTGCAAAAATCGATGTTCAATTAATACAAATCGAGGTATCTTAGATGTTTCTCCATAGTTATGGTTGTGTTCTTTATTTTGAGGGTTTTGAGAATTAATAAGACCTGTTATCTCACTATTAACCGCGTCATTTGTTAACAGAGTAGGGTTGGCTTGACTGATAGACGGAATCAATAGCAACATGGATCAAGCGGTGCAGGCCATCTAGGATGTTGTGCTGGTTCTGAAGATGGCTTTAAGACATCAACAACGGAGGCTTAAACACTACTTTGAATGACTCGATGGTAGTTTCATAAGGATGGTATTGAGACATCCAGAAGGCTCAATCATCAATTTTACACACTCAATTGGAGTTCTGTAACGATTCATGAAGGTCCTAATGCTTTGGTGGTGGGTGCAAACGGATTTCGAAATGACCAAAGAAACGTGCCTAGAAATGTTCCTCGTGGTAGATTGACGCCGAGAAATTTTATAATACACAAGGAGTAACTAGTGGCATGTACAGTAATTACTCTTTGGATCCACTTTGAGGAGAGAGATAGACACACAAAGAGAGAAAAAAATAGGAGAGAGAAAATAAAAAAATTTGAGCATACGTAAAAATTTTCTTATCACTTTTAGTGGGTATAGATATAATTTCTCTCTTTTTTTATGTGTCTATCTCTCTCCTCAAAGTGAGCCCAAAGAGTAACTACCGTACATGCCACTAGTTACTCTTTGTGTATTATAAAATTTTCCAATTGACGCCATCTCTATTCCAATATTAAAAGAAACTAAAAAGCATGTCCATTTTATAGTTCACCTTCTCTCATTTTACCGTATGAACGGAGGTTTTTTTTTTTTTCTTTGCCTTTTGTTTTATAAAAAATATATATATTTTTAATTATTATTATTTTCATTCAGTAAATTTATGAAAATCCATATTCGCTCTTGGGTGATTCTCTTTTAATTTTCTTTTTTAATCTTTTTTTGTCATTTTTTTTCTTTTTTTCTCTATCTTATAAATGACCTTCTTTTTTATATTTAATTATTTTTATTACCACCAAGTGGATTTGAAAATCCACATATACATTTTGCTAATTCTCTCTTTCTTATTTCTGTTTTAGCCTTTTTCGTCATTTTCTTTTCTTTCCTTATCAAGCATTTAATGCTCATGTGCTTTTCTTTTCTTTTTTTCCCTCCTTCTTTCGTGACTAGAGTGGAGCCTCAAAGAGTAAATTATAAATTAGTCCCTCTTTTTTAGGAAAACAAACTAATTAGTCCATCTAATTTTA